ATATATATATATTAGGGCTGGGCGGTATGGCCTCAAATTCATATCACGGTATAAACTGAATCCCTTCACGTAACGGTGTATATCACGGTAGAAAACTATCATAATAAGTAAAGATTTTTAGTGCATTTTTTGCTGAGAACTGTAATCTTAATCAAACCCAGCATTTTTGCTTTAATATTTGCCTGCCATACAATGAGCTTCTGCCTGCTGAACTTATCAGCTGCTGCGCTCTCATCTTCATTGCTGCACGCTCTTCTTCGTCATCAGAGCAGAAGCCGACTTTACATTAGCAAGATGGATTTATGACTGAATGAATGTCCACGTCTTTTTTATTATCATCTCTGTGGGTAAAAATACTTAAAAAACAAGTTTTTTCTCCGACAATTGGGTGTGAAAAACTGCGGTTGTTAAAGCTTCGCTCTGCGTGACGTGCAGCGAGAGGAGAGGAGAGGAAGAGGGAGAGGGAGAGGGAGGAAATTACCCCGCGACACGACGTAACTTTTCTACAGCGGGAGGAGGAAATTTTGAGGATTATTATTCTCTATACATGTTTTAAAACGGTAGAATTTCTTCATTATATTTCGAACTCCTCTCAGTTGTCTCTGCACCCGCAGCCCTGTTGACACAGGTGCGATGATGTAATGACGATAGGATGGTAGAGTATAAATTTCTACCGTAGGCCAACTTCATACCYTTTCTACCGTCTACTGCATATACCACGCAGCCCTAAATGCTCTCAAGGAGGAAGGTCACAATGATCCTCAGTCATGCAACAGTGGACCTAGAAGCAAATGAAGCTATTGTTACCAAAACTGTGGCAGATTTTGTTACATCTGCCTCAAGTCCCATTTTGAGGCATTCAGCATCAACATGAACTACCTTGTCAAGGACCCATCAGAATGGGAGTATGACCCATTATTGTAGTCACGGCAGGTTCTGTAGCATTAGGATACCAATGACCAATGATTAGGATGCAAGCGACTAATGATTAGGATGTCAATGACTTTAATAAACAGGAAACTCATCCAGGATTATAATCAAGTGATCAGCAGTGGCAATATATGCTGCAAGATTTAGGTGGCATCAATGTCAGTTCCTAGAAGTGAAGAAAGTCATAACCAAATGCCACTCTTCATGACTGTTTGTTCTCACCAAATAAGTGAACAATGACTCTTATTTATTTTATTTTTGTCTTGTAAGCCCATCCATCCATTAGCTTCTTTCTTTCAGGTTCATGGTGCCCACAACAATCACTGGTCACAAGTCCATCATGGGGCCACATAGATGGGGACAATTTAGAGTTACCAATTTTGTTTTTGGAAGGAAGCCAAAGTACCTGGAGAAAACCCACACATGCAAGGAGAGAACATGCAAACTCTACCCAGAAGGGTCCCCGGGCTGGGATTTGATCCGGCGACCTTCTTGCTGAGAGGCATCTACTCTACCAACTGAGCCACTATGCTGCCACTTTGTTTCACTTTGTATTTCATATCTAAGCAAGCATGTTGGCATGCACAAATGAGCTCAACCATTCTAATTTTCACCCCACATGCGGCAGTGGTTAGAAAAGTTGTATCGACACAAAATTTGGATTTTTTTTTTTGCAAAAAGAACAATTTTGTCAGGAAGCACCTTAAAAAGTCCCTTTTTTGTTTTTGGCATACTGTAGAGGACCACTAGCCTGGCCCTTGCCTTCCTATGCAGCTCCGCTCAATTCTAGTTTCCCTTCACTGCTCCATCTGGGACTTCTCCCATTGACAAGGATTTCGCTGGCAGATTTTTAGCCGGGCCAATCAGAGAACAGAAGGTCGATTTTCTGCACAGTGTCTGCTAGTTATTTTAGCATACGGCAGTGGAGGAAGTGAATGAAGCCAGTCTGTGATGATAAGGCTTCCAAATTAAATTATACATTATACTACTATACATATAAACTATATATACTATATAACATTATACTAATATACAGTATATAATACAATATATTTGTACATACACACATACACTGCTCAGAACGACATATAGTTCTACTTAGATGTGGTAAATGTACATTGAATGAATGGTACTGCACAAGTTCTAATGAATGGAGAACTGTATTCCACAGCTCACATGCAGTTATTGAAAAGTCGGATGGCAGAGGGGATTAAAGACCTCCGGGAGCGCTCAGTTTTAGACTGTGCCGCAGGCTGCTGCTAAACGAACTGCTCAGGGCTCAGTGACGTGGAGGGAGTGAAAGATGTTGCCCATGACAGATGTCAATTTGGCCAACAGGACAAGGGTCTGGTTTTTACCAGGCTACCTCAGCTTGCCTTAACCTAAAAACTGAAGCTGAGTTTGAGAAAACTGCTATGAAGGTAGGACAGTATAAGAATGTTTGCTCAAATAAACCGATTAATTATTGTCTGCAGGCTCTTAAATTATAGAGGTATTAGAGAGCTACAGTTTACAGTCCTGGAAACATTTTCCTCAGAGAGTTGAAATACTGCTTTCTTTCTCAACTGGACTGTGTTTGTGTCTTATCTTAGCTGAAGTATCCATGTAACTAGTGCAACATGCAGTTTGTACGTAAGTTTTCTAAGTTGTTCATAGTTTTGAACTGCAACAACAATGTGAACTTTACCAAGCTAGATGTTAAAGTGTCACTAATTTAGTTTCTTGTGCTTTTTTAGTGCCCCATTCACCACATATTAGTTGTTATTTGTGACCCTTTTTGTGAGAGGTTTTGAGTTTTTATTTCTGTGACGGTTGACTAAAACAGCTGTCAGGATTAATTACAGAGAAATAAAACGATGAGGAGACAGACAGGGAGGAGAGGGATTGCTTTTATTTATGACAAGATTAATTCTCCCTAAACTGTCATTAACTGATTACAATAAGCACCAGGTAGATGTTTAAAATGGCAAAGCACAGATTCAGAATTGTAATTAGTTTAAAGAAAAATTAAGATGTTTGTGTGTTTTTCTCGATTTACCGGTCGATCTACGTTCCTACCCTCATCTATGGTCATGAGCTTTGGGTCATGACCGAAAGAACGAGGTCCCGGATACAAGC